ACCGTAAGGTCCATTACCAAAATGGCCAATCCTCATTAGTCATTACCAACAGAACTACGAGGCTTGCTCGAACCTTGGAGTACCTGCTAGTCTACTTAGTATGAATATTATTTTTTATTTTGTGTTTTAATTTTAAAAAATTTTCCAAAACCAAAAATTAAAATCTTGTTTAAGATAAATTGCAACATTGAAAACTAAGTTACTAAATATATTTTTGTTTTTATTTCTTTAATAAACATAATAATATATTGGCAAACAAGCATGTAATTAAACGTAATTTTTTGTTCAAAATTTCAAAATTTATAAAATCAAAATCAAATCCATTTAGTATAAATTGTGGTCTCTAGTTTTTTATTTTAATTTAAAATTTTTTTACAAGTGTTTAAAATCATAATTAACATAAAATTGGCAACTTGTTTATGGGAAGTTCTAACCCTAACAACTAAAATTAGAAGTATAAGCTTTCTAATTAAATTGAATTAAGTTTTTTTTCTTTTTTTATTAATTATAATAATAATCGACACTAATTGATATTTCTTTTGATTCAATACACTAACTAAAATATTTATCAAAAAATTATATTTTATATAAAATTAAAAACAAATAAATTTAAAAATATTGTCATATGAATAATATGTAGTTACTAGTTATATTGATATTATATCTTAATATTTGAATCAAATAAATATAAAAGAAAAAATATGTCAAATTAAATAGTATATAAATTATTTTTTAATAATATATTAAAATCATTTATGAAATTAAATGAATTTTTTTAACAGATTTACAATTTAAGTGTAAGGATTTAAACCCCAACCTTTAAACTAAAAAATGTATTTTTACAATCAATTATCTAAATAATTAAATGATTATTTTTTTTTATTAAAAATAAAAAATTTTAAATTTGAATCATATGATACAAAGGTAAGATAAAATAAAAAACAAAAAACAATTACTTCTCGTTACGTAGTTAAGATTAAAAAAAGAAAAATTGCATCTTTACAAATTAACCTATACCCATTTGGCCGGAAGGCACAGGTGCAAAGGAATTTTTTTGTTTAAATTGCAAATTTTGAGAGTTTGTATGGCCATAACTGATCGTGAAAGGATTGGATGAGAAACAGCACGTCATGTCAACGGAGAATTCTAAGAATATATTTGAAGAATTTATATACATTGTGGATCGAATACAAAATATTGTTTTTTGTGTGGAAAAAAAAAAAGGAATTGAACGACCATTCAAGTGGCATTGAATCTTAGTTTAGAATTGTTTATTTTTAGTAAGTTGTACATTTGAATCTTAGAAATTTTTTTTTCTTTTAACTAACCTTCTAAATAATTACAAATTGTTCAAAAATTAAAAAAAAAAAATTTTAAGTTGGGTCAGCTGAATAAATGGATGGAGCTCTAGGACGCCAAATTATAGTTATAGGGAAACAAAAAGCAACAAGCTTCTGTTCTTAGTTTGACAAAACCCATAACTATATTATATGAAACTGAAATTTATAAATTATCGAACCCAAAATTTTAAACCTTAGACCTCGAATGTTAAATCTTAAGTTCAATATAAATCCTAAATCATAAGCTCTAACCTTATAAACCCTTGGTTTGAAGAAAATGAAATAAAGGAGAGGAGAGGGGATAACTTTTTTAATCAATTAAAATTATAATATTGACTAATATTATAGTTTAATTGGTGAAAAAATCTATCTATTCCCTAATTTTTCAAACCAAACATAATTTTAGTATTTTACAATATGGTTATTATATGTAAATTATGCATATCAATTTTTAAATTGATTAAATAATATAATTAGTTTATTAATTATAAAAAATTATTATTGTTAAATATATATTAAAAAATATAAATTTTTTGATTGAACGATTATAAATATTATATTAACTTAAAAATTTACATACATGATGTATATCAATAAAATATTAAATTTAATAATTAATTTTTAAAATATTTATTAGAAGATTGTGCTTTTGAAATTAAGATTTAAATTTTTTTTAATAAAAATTAAAATTTACATGCATTTTGCTTACATATTAATAAGAGGTGGACAATATATAGATCTTTGGGGCATAAAGAGGGAAGTTTTCTCTCAATTTTTTTAAACAATAAGATTATTTATATATTTATATGTTTTTATATTATAACAAAAATAAAAATAAAAATAAAATTTTTATTTTTTATTTTCTTAACATAATTTCAAATAAGCAAATTTTTCTTAACACATTTTTTGGAAGAGAAAATGTTTTAGCAACTTTAATTTGTTTATAGTTATATATCCACTTCAGCATTTTTAAGAGCATCCATTACTTCGTTTGACTGGTAGATGGTTATATTTTTATTTAATTTTTGTGGTAGCCAGGCATGTGATCATGGAGAGTACCCTTCTACCATTTCAGGAAAACTTACAAGTAAAATTAACTAGTACATATAAGTGGTCCTACAGCACCTAAATTTGTGAAGCTTTGAAAGAATGTGGTGCCTTGACGTTGTGGTGGTCATTTTCTCATGATAATTTTGAAGGTAACACAAATTTATAATAATAATAATATTATTATTTTTTTAGAATTATTAATTTTAATTTTAATTTAATTATTATAAATTAAAATTAATTTATAAATTAATAATTTTAAATATTATAACTATTTATTTTGAAAAAAATTATATATTGATTGTCAAATTAACACTTTTTATTAGCACTAATAATTTAGATAGTTTTGTACTTTCTATTTTAAATAATTTTTATTATTTTATTTTTTAAAATTAATTTTTTTAAAATTTATGTATTTATTTTACTAATCTCTTGTTATCTGAAAGTCACGTTACATTTTGATTGATGTAAAATGGAGTTGCGTTGAATCTTATAAAAAAACACTTTCAATACTTATTTCTTCATTTACAATTTATAAAACTTAAATTTAATATTTTAATTAAAAAAAAACTTAGTTTTTTTTTATTTGAAGTAATAAGTTATTAATAAAATTTAATTTATATGATATACAAATAATGTAAATTAAAAAAATAAAAAATTATTTTTTTATTATACAATTTAATATTAAAAAAAAAAAAGACACTCGTGACCATCGGCACTAATGTTATTTAATAAAAAAATAAAAAAAACCCCAAAAGGGTATCACCAACTGCATTTGACAAAATAAAATACAATAATTCAGGTGACTTTAAACACACCAATGACTTACAGAGAGCAATGCTAGGAACACTCGACATTTGAACTCTCCAATCAACACTTCTATTTTCATTGGGCCACGTTATGTTGCTATGGGAGAGGTCAACATTTCACAGCGGAAGCAAGCTTACGTGGCCCAATAAAAAAGCACGTGTTGGCTGGAGAGTGCAGGAGGCAAGTGACCCTAGCACTGTCATTTACAGAATAAAATCAAGGTGAAAAATCTAAACACATGCAGGCATGCGCACACGGTCCATGGGCTTAGTTGAGGAGAAATTAATTGTTTATTATTTTTGGGTGGTAATTATTCTTTTTTTGAATCTATTTATAGCAACGTGGTGGGGGCTAGATTAGAATCCCGAAGATTGCGTTCTCTTGCATTTAATTTATACTCTAAATGATGTACGTATATAATTTTTTTTTTTTTTTTTACCAACGAGGGGTGGGATGAAGTGACAAGCGGCTTGTTTCAGTTTAAGTAAGATTTCGACTTCGAAACTTTATGTATGCAGCAGCTTTCGTTGAGAGACTCACCCACTATTCTGGTACGTCACAGCTGGTCGAGTCTTAAGTAATTGGGGCGAAGCCCTGGATACCGAACGGAAAACCAAAAAAAAAATATAACTTTTTTTTTATTAAATAAATAAATGATATTTAAAGGTTTTTTTATTTTTTAAATTAAAAATTACTCCGACCAAATCACTCACGTTTGAGACATAAATTTTTTTAATATGACCATCTGGGAGCTCATCTGCACATCTATTGCTAAAATGTTCTTATTAAATTGAAGGAATATTAGAAATTATTTAGGACTAGGGGGTGTATTAATCATTTTTGTTAAATATATATTGCAGTTTTAGGAGGTAATTAATTTAAAGAAAGCAACAAAATACGTTTGGTAAAGGAATCCCAAAAAAAAATACAGTACTTTAAATTGTCTCAAAATAATAATAATTTTTTAATTTTTTTGAAATTAAGGTTTAAGATAATTAATGTGTTTAACTACATACTTTAAAAAAGAAATAATAGATAAAGACGAACGTTTTGTTAAGATAATTAACTAAAGTAGCCAATGATTCAAATGATAAAAGATCTTATATTCAAATTACATAATATATAAATAGAATTATAGATAAAAAAAAAAGTTGCATCCCTTATTATGTAATTTAAAATAAATATAAAAAGAGTAAATAAATAATGATGATGTTAAAATAAAAAAAATATTTATTTATTTTAAAAAATAATAATTAATAATTAATTTAAAATAAGAAAATTAGTAACAGTTACTTTAATTTGAAACATTGATTCTATGATGAAATGACTATAGAAAAAGGATTCATCACTCGATTTACAGTTGCACCTTCCCACAAAGTCAGTTCCCGTGAAATATGAAGTAGATGGTCAAATTCCCGCGTGATACCTAACACCAAATTTCTCCATTTTGTAATATTCTTTATATATATATATGGACGTATTCTGACCCATCAAAATACACACATCACATCCATTGTGTGCACTAAACTGCACTCTACTATTACCCCAGCATACGCCATGGCACAACTAAACACCTTTCTCCTCCGGGAGCTGGCAGTCGCCGTCGCTCTCTTTTATATCACTCGTTTTCTTATCCGTTCTCTTCTTAGAAAACCAACCAAACCACTCCCTCCGGGACCAAAAGGCTGGCCGGTGGTGGGTGCGCTTCCCCTTCTGGGATCCATGCCGCATGTTGCTTTGGCCAAGATGGCCAAAAAATATGGGCCAGTTATGTATCTCAGGATGGGTACGCTTAACATGGTGGTCGCCTCCACCCCTGACGCCGCCAGAGCCTTTCTCAAAACCCTTGATTTGAATTTCTCTAATCGTCCGCCTAATGCCGGCGCCACCCATATTGCTTATAACGCTCAGGACATGGTGTTCGCAGACTACGGGCTGAGGTGGAAACTCCTGAGGAAACTCAGTAACCTCCACATGCTCGGCGGGAAGGCCCTCGACGATTGGGCACAGGTGCGAGCCGTGGAACTTGGTCACATGCTTCGAGTCATGTGTGACGCCAGCCGGAGGGATGAGCCGGTGGTGGTGCCTGAGATGTTGACTTACGCCATGGCGAATATGATCGGGCAAGTGATTCTTAGCCGGCGTGTTTTTGTCACTAAAGGATCAGAGTCAAATGAGTTCAAAGACATGGTGGTGGAGCTGATGACCTCCGCCGGATTTTTCAACATCGGTGATTTCATTCCATCCATAGCTTGGATGGATTTGCAAGGGATTGAGCGTGGGATGAAGAAACTACACCGGAGATGGGATGTGTTGCTGACACAGATGATGAAGGAGCATTCAGCCACAGCGCACGAGCGTCGGGGAAAACCTGATTTTCTAGACATTGTGATGGCCAACGCCGACAGTAAATCCGATGAAGAAAAGCTTAGCTTGACTAACATCAAGGCTCTCCTCTTGGTATTTCCCCTAAACTAAAACCCCCCTTTTTTTTAATTTTTTTTTTCTATAAAATAATTTATCTCTTGACAAAAAGTCTAAACTAGTCTCCTCACACAAATCAAAGCTAAATAAATAATTAATCCGGGGAAACATAAGAAATCATTTCAAAGTTTAAAGTTCTCTAATTAATTTATAAAATAATAGTATAGTGGGAGACCAATGCAATCAAATCAATTTTGGCCTTTATTTAAAAAAAAAGTAGTGTTCCTACAACAATAGAGGCGGGATTCCTAGATTTCTAATATTTAGGTTCATCTTATTATTAATAATTTATTATAATATAATTTATGTAAAATAAATTATATTATAATATTATATTTATTTTAAGAAAAAGTCTAAAATACAATAAAATAGTTATAATTCATTTTAATTAAATAAGATGGTTCATCATCCCATTAAAGATACATCATCAAAATTAAACTTTACCTAGAAGAACAGTTTACCGGAGGGTTTCCCCAACCAAAACCACCTCTCCCCTCTCTCTCTCTCTCTCTCTCTCCCATAGCCACAGTCTTTTCACTCTCCTCCTCCCGCTCCGCCCACTACTCGTCCGTGACGGCAACAACCCACCTCCTCAAGATGGATTGCTCCCATCTGATCCCATGCCTTTTTCCTCCAAACCCTTGAAGAGATAGAAAGAAGATTTGAGAGGAAAAAAAAAATAATAATAGAGAGGTTCGTAGGCGGAGAAACTCTCCATTAGATTGATTATTCTTCTCATTAAAGTTTAATTTTGATGACGTGTGTTTAAGTAATAAAATGATGAAGTATTTTATTTAGATGAATTAATATTTCTTTTATTGGACGACAGAGATACCACCTGACCTGATTTTTTTGTTGTATTCTAGATTCTCTCTCTCCTTCTTCTTATTATTATTATTATTATTATTATTATTATTATTATTTTTCTGAAGACTTAGATTTTCTCTTATTTTGAGGGACTATGAATATAAAAATACATTATCTCTTAATTTAAGACTTTTTTATATTTATGATTGCATATTTAATTCATTTTGAATGCAATGTAAGCACTTACTACCGAATACACTTAAAAAAAAAAAAGAAATTTATTACAGAGGGCTTTAAGGTAAATATATGAATTATCAATTTTTACTTATTAAAAGATAAAAAAATTTGAATCTAATTTATATAAAATACAAATGAAATAAGATAAAAAAATAAAAAATAATTATTTTTCAATGTGTACCTAACATTAAAAAACAAAAGTAAAAGTACGAATTTATACTCACTGAAATTTGTTTGTACTTGAAGAATTTATTCACGGCGGGCACTGACACGTCATCGAGCGTAATCGAGTGGGCTTTGGCGGAGATGCTGTTAAATCCCAATATACTCAAGCGGGCCCACGATGAGATGGATCAGGTGATTGGACGAAATCGACGGCTGGAAGAGTCTGATATACCCAAGCTTTCGTACCTTCAAGCTATATGCAAGGAAACCTTCAGGAAACACCCTTCGACTCCGCTAAACCTGCCACGTGTCTCAACGGAAGCCTGCGAGATAAACGGTTACTACATCCCCGCGAAAACCAGGCTCAGCGTTAACATCTGGGCAATCGGGCGTGACCCGGATGTTTGGGAAAACCCGCTGGATTTCACGCCGGAAAGATTCCTGACGGAGAAGAACAAGAAAATCGATCCCCGCGGGAATGATTTCGAGCTGATTCCGTTCGGAGCGGGGAGACGGATCTGCGCCGGAACGAGGATGGGGATTGTGTTGGTGGAATATATTTTGGGGACGCTAGTTCACTCCTTCGATTGGGCGTTGCCGGCTGGTGAAAAGCTAAACATGGACGAGGCATTCGGATTGGCGTTGCAGAAGGCGGTTCCGCTCTCCGCCGTAGTCCGCCCGCGGCTGGCTCCCAGTGCCTATCTTTCCTGAGCACTTCCTTTGATGGTGAAAATGGTTTCTTGAATCATATAAAAAAGCATGATGATGATGTGTTGTCTTATTTTGGAAGGACTGCTTTGCTTTTATAATTTTATGTTTTAATTTTAATTTTTTTTACTGTTTATGTTCCACGTTTTTTTTTTTAAAAAAAAAAAAAACATCGAGGTGGAATTCGAATTCCACAAGTATCAAGTTTCGTATGATAAATCCTTTATGAGGGTAAAGTGATTATTAAATTCTAAGATCGTTCTCGTTTATGTTTTAGTTATTATTGGAATGAAAGGATTAAGTCTGTTTTGTTGTCATATGCTCACAAATTAGTGGACTTTATTATTCCCAATGAAATCTAAGGTTATCACCTTAATATAGCTAGGATTTAGGTGGACATTATCTGCGGTGGTTAAGGATTCTCTACATAAAAAGAAACTTCCAGTTGGGGAGAGATAGGAGAGTTTGCCCTAAACTTAAACGTTTAGATTTGGTGTCACCATTTTCCCAGAAGAGCCATTGGAGCCACAACCTGATTCATGTAGTTAAGAAACTTGTTTAGATGCCACAAAGATAGGGCTACACAAATTGCCCACCTCCAAGGAAACGATTCTTTTTGTGACATTTAGAAGTAAAAAAAGAAAGTACCCTGCTCAAAAGAGTAGTAATTTAGTTAATGAAGGGTTTGCTCTTCAGTTGTTGATTAAAGTTTGATTCTCTTAAGAATCTAATGAAGATAAATTTTCATACTAATTTTTTAACCTTGACATGTGTGACTTATATTTTATTAAATTAGAAAATAATTAGTCTTAAAATGTATACAAATTGATTAGAAACATCAAAACCATAGAGAAAAAAATGATATCTCTGTCCTGTATACGGTAGCATATATGGGATCATAAATTGAAAAACAAACACGAAACTTGAAATTTGAAAAACGAAAAAGTGAAAATTAGGACATCCTCACATCAAAATGTTTATCATAATCATCCGTTAAGTGGACTTTTAACTAGAACCCACTTAATGAATGATGGTAATAAAATGTCCTAATACCAGAACGTTCTGATTTTTCGGATTCTATTTGAAAAAAGATCAAAGTTTCTGCCAGTAAGCCAACAACAGTGAAGTGCATACTCCTATAATAGAAGCAAGTACATCGAATTAAAAAATTAAAATTAAAAAAAATAACCCTTGATCTCCCTAACCATTAGTAACACATGATTTGGTTATGTAATGTTTTAATTTTTCTGAAGGGAAATTAGACATTCATCAATATTCTCTTGATCATCATGTTCATGACTTGGTTACATCGTTTAATTTCCTCTTGCTTCTTCTTCTTCAGTCATCTCCCCTGCACATATCACTTCCCTCAATCTCTCCATCACTTTGTAAATTGTAATAGAGTAATGTACGTGAGCATCCACAATTTTAATGTCAACTTTTCTTGGTTTCTGATCTGATGCATATATATATAAATGCCTATTGATTTCATCCTCTGTCGTGATCATCATATTCACAATGTCTTTTCCTTTTTTTTTTTTTTTGTTTTCACCTGAATGCAACCATAAAAAGAAAAACACTGATACAAAATCAATTAAACAAACACATCACGCCTCTTCTTTGGGTTTCCATCTGGGTTTCCTTTCCTCATCATCGCCACAAATTCATCATAGTTAATACGCCCATCCTACAAGAATAAATTTCAACATCTTTGTCATTTTATGAAGTGATATTCATTTGATTTCAAACACTGAAGACACTACAAAGTACTTACATTATCAGAGTCGACCTCAGAAAGGATTTCCTTTAATTCTTTCCCATCAAGCAGGCCATATTCGCGGAGAGCTTGCTCTAGTTCCTCGTTAGTGATGTACCTGAACAGAATCATATGAGTAGAATTTAAGTTGCAGAAGGAATATTATTAGATTGATATTTTCAAAAGTGTTTTACAGTCTTGCACTGTTTAGGACTATAAAACACTAATATTAGATGGGGGAGAGACTCACTTGATATGGAGCCCTCCCCCATCTAAGGATGCTTATTTTATAGTTCGAACTGTAAAATAACAAAATCTTATATTTTTATAAAATGAAAATTACCCGCTGTTGTCTTTGTCAAAGTGTTGGAAGGCAGTGTAAAGGTGATCCTCCTTGTCCATTCTATTCAAATGCATTGTGGCTGTGATGAATTCATCATAGTCTATGGTCCCATTGCCATCTGCATCAGCCTGCATAATTTCTCACATCATAGTCAAGTTAATATTCACTAACAAAAATAACCATCAACTTTTCCAAGAACAATCAATTCCTCCAAAGAAAACTCACAGCTTCCATTAATTGTTTAACTTCATATTCTGTTAATTTAGTTCCTTGCTTGGCAAGCCCTTGTTTCAACTCTTCTAGTGTTATCGTGCCACTATTGTCGGTGTCAATGCCCTTGAACATCTCCTTCAATCCCATGATTTCTTCCTCTGATAAGCACCCTGCAATCACCTGCATGCATTTTCAAAAACATGTATGATCATAGTTAATATTAATACCTAATGTTTTGAGTATTTCTAGATACTAAATATTGCATCATATTTACCCTTAGAGCAACTTTCTTGAATTTATTCATAGCTTTGAATTGTTTGAGCCTAGACAACACTGCATTGTCAAGAGGAGTATCTGGTGCTTCTCCATCCTCCTTGATCCATGGATGACCTGTTTATATATGTACACATTATTATCAGAGGAATTAATGTGCAAGATTTAAATGTATGATTATTATTAATTCTATAACTAACCATGGGTTCTTACTTAGAACTTGGATTGCTGTTAACCTCTGCTTAGGGTCTGAAGTTAGCATTTTCCTGACAAGATCCTTTGCCTGAGGCGAAATAGAGGGCCATGGATCGCTTGTGAAATCAATGTGCCCTCGTAGGATTGCGTTGAATATCCCGTTTTCAGATTCTGTTTAGATGAAATGCTGCTTAGCTTACATAAGTTTCCTTGAAAATGATTGGAAAAGAAAAAGAGCTCCACCAATTAATTACCAGCCCAGAAGGGAGGAACACCGCACAGAAGAATATACAGCATCACCCCAATGCTCCATATATCGGCTTCCGGTCCGTATCTTCTCCTCAGCACTTCCGGTGCAATGTAATATGCACTTCCGACGATGTCTTTAAATACATCTCCTGTTTTTGAAACATCATAATTGAATTTATTTATTAGCACAGGCCAGGCCACAGGGGAAAATGACTTGAATTGGATTCAAGGAATGAAATTCAATATTTATACCTGGTTTGTAGAAAACAGAGAGACCGAAATCAGTGGCCTTGAGGGGGGAATCTTCATCCTTGCTCAACAAGAGGAAATTTTCTGGCTTTAAATCTCTATGGATGACACCCATGGAATGGCAGGTGTGGATGATTTGGACAATGGTGCGGAGCAAAGAGGCGGCGGCACGTTCTGTGTAATGTCCCTTGGCAATGATCCTGTCGAAGAGCTCTCCTCCGGCACAGAGCTCCATGACGAGATGAACAGAGTGCTTGTCCTCGTAGGCTCCCTTGAGTTCTACAATGTTTGGTTGCCCTGTCAAATGGTACATGATTTGAACCTCCCTCCGAACATCCTCAATATCCTCCTTGTTAACCAGTTTCCGTTTGGCTATAGTCTTGCAGGCAAATTGTTGGCCGGTCACCTTGTTGGTACACAAATGGGTAACCCCGAACTGTCCCCGACCCAATTCTTTTCCGATGGTGTAGGTAGATTTAACGTCCTCCATGGGGCGGCCTAAGACGGGTCCAATAGGGGATGGCTTAGCAGGCTTGGAGGAGGCGGTGGATCCAATAGGCGGAGAAGGCTTAGGTGGGGCGGCGGGATTGTCCTGCTGATCTTCCGATTCTCCCTTATCATCATCATCATTATTATTATTTGGGGCATCGCCGGAGTTGCCTTGAGAGCAACAGTTGCCCATTGTGGAAGGGAGAGAGGGGGTGATGGGGTTAAGGGGAGGGAGAAATTAACTTTCCGAATGGGCCTGAAGAAAGAGAGAGACATGTATAGGAGTGAGAGAAGAAACAGCTTAGATTTTGGTGTAGGAAGCTAGAGGGGATTGATAGTGAGGGATTTTAGGATTAAGGTTGTGTAATTTGGGTTGAAGGAGTCACTACTCTTGTTTGGGGGAAAAGAAACTGCATTTCAGACTAAGGATGAGAGGATTTTGCGGAACAACTTGATAGTAAACTGCTTTCCTTTGTCCGTTGGTTTTGTTGTCCTTCAAAACAGGCTTACTACTCCATATCCATAATCAGGATGAATGTCTAATATATATTTTATATTCTTTAAATTTATTTTTGTAAATATGTCTTGCATTGTTCTGTTTTTTTTTACTTTTTTATGCCTTCTAGACATTCCATCTCTCAGATTTGATTTAAAGAAGGAAAAGAAGAATTTTTATTTTTTTGGGCTTAAGTGTGTTTCTTTTAATTAATATACTCTGATTGACAATTTTCTTCACGTGGCAAAGAAAAGAAGATACTGACGAGGGAGAAGAAGGGAAGATGGAGTGGGGTTGCGCGGGATGTCTGGGGACTGGGGAGGAGGGGTAAGGAATTGGTGGGGAATGGTGGGGAAAACGAAGGATTTGGATCAAGATACTGATGCATTCTTTTCATTGAACAAACATACAATTACATGATCAAAGGACAACAACAGCTAAAAGACATAACAAAGATGACCAAAGGTCACATCCAGTAAACCAACGTGAGTCAGCTAGACTGGTTGCAGCTCGCGTAAGATCATGGGCCACCTTGTTAGTATCTCTTCGAACATGCGTGGAACCTCTCAAAACAGCTACAGCTTCCACATGAACTACACTGGTGGCAAGTAGAATAGGCCATTGAAAAACACCAAGATCCAAGTCCAGAAAAGTCCCTAGTATTACTCCACCAGCACCACCTTTTTGCTCCTCTACAACAGAAAAGCTCCATCCACGTTTGATTTCACAAAGTCCAGATTCTATTTATTCAATGAGATGTCGCAGATTTGTAATGAAATCGTTTAAGTATTCATCTTGAAGATCTTTTCTGGAAAGTATATGTCTTAACTTGGCATGGTTGCTCTTTAAAAGAATAGCAATTTCAGAGTCTTTATCCATTACCAACTTGATAGCTTTACTCAAGCTCTCCTTGGCAATCCACCCATTTTCTCCTCTTTCCACTTCAAC